TGTGTATATATATATATATATATATATATATATAAAAATTTCGAAGTTGATGGATCACCACGTTGAGGGGTGCATGGGTCTGCCTCTGATTATGCAGTTGGATAAATTGCACACATAAATATGTACCGACGAAGCAAAGTCAAACAAACCATATATATATATATATGTGTACATATATATATATACATATATATATATATTTTGCATCCACGAATACATACGAGTGTTATTGGTTGTTGATATAAACTAGAGGATGAGACTTATATTCAAATCTAGCTAAAGTATTTATTTCACCGTTCAAATCTAGCCTAGGTGCATAATTTATGGTTGTAATATAATGGTAGTAGATAGAAGCGGAGTCAGAATTTTTAATAAAGGAATTTAAAATTTGTAGAAATAGACACATGAAGTAGTCGAAGGGAATTCGACATTATAAAATTATTTTAACCATGTATAAATAATAAAAAAATTCGACGTGAACCCCCTTCTTACAAGGTGGCTCCGCCCTGGTGGTGGATTCTATTTTTTATTTCTTCTGTCCGTCAATATTTGATACTTATGTTAAAATTTTACTATTTTAAAATTGCGTCAAGTATTGATTATTTTAATATTTGATGTGCAACGCTCCCCCTTCCTTCTCATTCGGAAAGAGGGGGGAGCCCTGCATACGAATTATTTTTTCTATTTTCATAGCTCAAATCAAAAATATTTTATTTTTAAAGAAACAACATTATTCACTACACCACACCCTTTAGCCTGGTTGTGGCGGAGTTAATTCAAAATTGGATTACTTTTTATTATTATTATTATGTTCTAAATAGATTATTTTTTTAATTTGGATACATTCTTAAGAACCTATTTATTTTTAAAAAATAAGGTATTTTATTACTTATTCCTAATCAGAGAAAATCTAATTAATGAATCTTGATTATATAAATAAGGATTATTTTGAAAGAATTAAGATCAATTTTTTCTTAAAATACTAAAATACAATTTATTTTAAAACGAAATGAAAAACTAAAATATCGTTTACTTTAAAATAGATGGAGTAATACATTTTTGAAGAAAAAAACCTTAGTGGGATTTTTACCGTAAGAATTTGATATTCTACCTCGTAATCAAGGCTAAAACACCAAGTTATTTATTTATTAAATTTATTAAATTAAAAAGAGTTATGAAACAATATCATTATCTTTGAATCAATCTGCCCACTCCGTTGGGGAATCTAATCTAATGATATAAAAATGATTATTTTAGTCCTTGTTTAAAAGAAAAAAGTTAATTAAAACTCAAAAGCTTCACTATTAATGTTTGGGCCACCCATTTTCTACAATAAAAATCACTACCCATCAATCAAACATTTGAAGTATTTTTTGAAAAATAACTTTCTCTCACCAACCAAATAGAAAATAATTTTTAAAAATAAGCTATTCAATATATATTATCTTTAAGGATAGTTTAATTTGAATGCAAATTATGCTAAAATTAGTTATTTAAATATTTGTTTTTTCTTTAAGTAAGGTTAGAATTAGTTATTTTAATATTATTTTTCTTAATTATTTGATTTGTTATATAAGGTTTTAGGGACTTCAGAATATGTTTGTTACTTTCATTATATTATTTAGAAAAAATTGATTCTGATATTATTATTCACGATCTGATAAATATAAGGGTAAATGCATAAGTAGTCTCCCATATTATAATTGAAATTTCAAAGACACACCTTAACTAAACTAAGGTTTGATTGCCCCCTTGAACTTATTTTTTTTTTGTAATTTTATTCACTTTTTGTCTTACGTGGCACACTCCGTGACTCCATGCAATTGAAAAGTGTGGGAGATATTTGGTTGCCACGTAAGCCAAAAAGGTGCACAAAGTTACAAAAAAAAGTTCGGGGGTAATAGGACCTTAGAATAGTTAAGGTGCGTCTCTGATATTTCGATCATAATCTAGAAAGTACTTGTGCATTTTTCCTATATATAAAGTGATCCTAATTGTGACGTTTAAGCTATATCAAGATTAAAAATAGTGATATTAATTTTTTATTTTTAATATTATTTATGCTTATTCAACATAGTAAATGTTTCGACTTAATATCTTTGTCAACCAATAACAAAAAAAATGATTATACTAATATATGATTATAAGGAGAAGCCACCAATAGTGGATTTGTAAATGATGACTATACTGAAATATAGCACTAGTTCTTCTTGAAC